AACAGAAAGTTCAGATACCTTGGTTGCATTGGATTCCAGCTCCGATCGCAGGGCTTCCAGTTCCTTAGCATGGGTCTCCTTTAGTTTGACGGTCGAGGCTGCTCGCTTTTTCTGTTTTTGCAATTGTGCTCTTAGCTCAGAGAGTTCATTTTCATGCTCTGCCTTCAGATTGTCGACCTCAGAAATGTCTTTGAATTTGGCATCTGCTTCTGAGCGTAGATTTTCAAGTTCTTTCTGTACAGAAGCAGCGCGCTCGCGTTCCTCGTCTAGCTTCGTCTTGAGTCTGGTCACCTCGACTTCGTGAGCCGCTTTGGATTGCTTAGCCGCCGAGGCGTCTTTCGTGAGAGTCTCTATCTGCGATCGTAGTTTGTCGGTCTCTTCCGATTGCTTCAAATTTAGGTCTTCATTGGTGTCAGCGCGTTGTGTCTGGTCCTGAAGTTGAGATTTGAGGTTGGCAATTTCCGCATCGTATGTTTCTTTCAGCTTGGCGATTGTTGCCGTGTCTTCCATTTGGTCGTCTAGTTCAGATCGCAATTGATCAAGCGCTCTGGCGTGATTGGCCTTCAACTTGTCGATAGAGGCGGCACGTTTTCGCTGCACTTCAAGCTGTGACTTGAGCTCCTTAGACTCATTTGTATGATCGTTACGAAGACCTTCTGCAATCGAGGCGTGTTCGGCCTTCAAATTTTGCAGCTCTTTTGCGTGTGCGTTCTTCAGGTCTTTTAACAGACTTGACGTTTTCCTTAGCTCTTTCGATTCGGCCTCGAGTTTGGCGTGTGCAGCTGCAAGGATTTTTGCATGCTCAGCCTTCATCGAGTCCATCTGGTCCAGTCCGGCCCTTAGAATGCGCATCTCGGTAGCGTGTTCTTCCTCGGTAGCACGTCTCTGTCTCTCGTAATCGCCTCTGATGCCCTGAACTTCCTCCAAATGTGAGGCTTCCATCTCTTCCATCTCTGCCACGGTAAAAGTGCCGGCCCAAGTGTCCGGCTTGACAGGACTTTTGGGACGTTGTAACCTCGCAACTTCAGCCTTGAGCTCTGTGATCTCCTCTTTCATAGCCTCTCTGACATTGGCTTCGCGCAGCAAATCTCCCATGATACGCATGTCTCGTAGCTTTTGTTCCTGAGTCTCGGGAGCGGTCGAGGGGCGGCCGACCGTTGCGGATTGTGATCGTGCATGGCTTTTTTGCTTGATCTGATCGGTATCTGCATCGGAAACGGCGGAGAACTTGCGCAGCTTAGGTGGTGATTTGAACAGGGGTCCCAAAGGAGATGGCGGTCGATCAGACCACGAATTCAGATCACTGGCAATGATTAGCTCCTGGCGACTCCTGTCAATTGAGGCCAGGGTGAAGGTACCTTGAGAGTTTGACGGGACTGGACAGTGTAGGCTTCTCCATCTTCCCAAGCGATGTTCTGATTGCCAGTTTCCTCGGAGTAGTCACAGGGGCTTTTGGCGCAGGAGTGGGCACTTTCGGGGCAGTCGCAGGTGTGGACACCTGGGGGGCAGTCGCAGGAGTCTTAGGCGTAGAAGGGTTTGCGGTAGCAGCCAATCTAGGTGTACGGTTGATGGTAGGCGGAGTAGCAGCGACACGAGGGGTAGAGATTAGAGGGGCTCTGGGAGCAGTCCTGGTGGTAGTCGTAGGGGTTCGCGTGCTAGCAGATGATGTAGTGCTCAGTCGAGAGGAAGGCCGTGTGGTCGGGACAACATTCATAGATGACATGCGCCTCGATACACCATTAAGAGTGGGTCTCTTGTTTTCTTCGACACTGGCCAGGCGCAAGGGTTGTCGGGCTGCTGTTGCTGCAGTATTACTCGTCGCGGACCTGACGGATGCACTGCTCCCTGGTCGAGCTGCTGTTGATAGCGTAGGACCTCTAGCTGACGAGCTACCTAGCCTCGCTAGTGGGGGACGCGTCTTGTCGGCGCTCCCTCCTGCTGGAGTGCGACCAGACATGGCGATGGTCCTGTGATTGCTCGGGCTTCGGGCTTATTTGTGAGGGTGCTTCTCAGCACTCGGGGCTGGGCATGGTCGTGTCAGAGATGTGCGACAATGATGAGAAGAAAAGGAGAGAAGCTTGGAGTACCAGGCTTCAACTGCTAACCGCGGCAGGAGCATGCACAGTGACGGTGCATAACCAGGAAGTCTGAAACTCTGTTTACTCAAGTTGTGGGCCCAAAAGCCTCATGGCACTTGCATGATCACCAGGAAATCAGGGTTCAACAGCCCGACCCGCAGCCGCCCCTGCCATATTGTACCGTTCGAACGACAACTTTCGTCGGACTTCCTTCCTTCTACAGTTATGCTGGATCTTTTATGTTCGCGAATAGTCGCAAAGCGACACGTGCCGGGGGAGATAATCTGTACGAATAATTCTTGAGTTGGGATCTGGAGACGAGTCGAAAACATCAGAGATTCATCATGATGGCCACCAAGAGGCTTCGCAAGCGTGTTGGGTCTACTAACTTATCTCGCCTACATGTATGTTCCCTGTTTTTACTACTTCCCTGTCTTTACTACTTCCCTGTCTTTACTACAGAACCCCATATACAGAGTTTGAATGCCCTCAATATCATGTCAATCGCCAATCTGTAGCCTTGGCTTTCTCGTGAAGCTGTTCGAGTGCCTCTTTGCTCTCTGCAGAGTCATCCACAATATGCGCAAGAGCATACCATATGCGCTCTCGATTCTGTAGCCCTTTCATGTTCTTCCACTCACGATTGATCTCGCGATAGAGCCAATGCCAATCTGCGCGCTGGCGATCCAAATGTTGGGCTGGCTTTGGCTTCCGGGACTGAAGACGCTCTTGCGCGATAATTTTTCTTTGCTCTGCTCTTGTCTCTTCCGGCAAATCATCCAGAGACCGGACGCGAGCTTGTGAGGCCTCGTCATATGTTTTGAGCTCTCGCATGGTCGTGCATGTCCAGAATGAGTAAGGGCGGTCACACCAAACTTCCCACAGCCACGGCATTTCTTCCCGAATCAATCGATGCCATAGTGTATTTGGCAACTGGCGGCAGCTTGAGCTCGCAAGCCTAAGATTGGCGATGTCTTTGGATCCAAGTGGTTGCAAGATCATGTCACGGATCTCTTCGGGAAGGTTCCCGAATATATCGCCTCCATGTACCGGAATTGTAGCGTCGACTTCGAAAGGACAATCCCTCACGTCGAAGTCTGGCTCTATTCGTACGGCGCGCTCGATGATGTTGTGGAGGGCAGGTATGTGGACAGGATTTGCCACCAGAAACTCGTGGCCTATCTCGTGATTCCACCACTGATCTTGTCCACAAGATACAGCAGGATGGTGCGGACCGTCGCTAAGTTCATCCCGATCGAACTTCTCGGCCAGCCCATCAACGTCAATTCTTCCTTTGTGGAACAGTGAGACTCGTTTGTAGACCTCGAAGCAATAAGGATGAAAAGGCAGGTTGCCTTCCCGGAAACCATCGTATTCGCCAGGCCACAGGTCCTCCACGCCATGACGTATGGGATAGCCCGGTGTGTCATCTTCGGTAGCTCCTGGCCGGTCTCCGAGTCCAGAGAGACAGTATTCGCTGTTGCGTTCAAAATCTTCGTCGTCGGGCAAAGGCTTCCAGCTCTGTGAGGATATCATGTACTCGCTTGTTTTGGGTCCGAGGCACTGTATGGTGGTGCAAGCCTTCATCTCATCATACGATAAGTTGCATCCGCTGTAAGCACTGGCGCTAGCACTACAATTGGGTCCAGCAATGTGTTCATCGTAAGTAATGAAGCCAGGATCCTCTTTAGGGAGAGGCGGTTTTTGTTCATTTTGAGGGACATCAGAGCGATACCACGTCAGATAATCGTTCAGCAGCCGATCAGCGGTTTTGCTCAAATCCTCTGCTTCTCGCGTGCGTGATCGACTTGGAGATTCGGAGCCAGTCCATATTCTACTTGGCGACGGATTTCCATTTCTTATCAGCTCTTCGAAAATCTCAACGCGCCCGATGCATTCTTTCTTCGAGTTCAGAAACACAGTAAGGCTGACTTCTTTGCCCTCCGAGTCGGTCCAAGATGGTATAGTATCCCACATGACGTCTGTGATCGCACAGTCTGGCTCATCGCCCTCGATCGGGAAACCATCACGTTGCCGCCGTCGAAGCGTCTTGCAGCCGAGCTGAAAACAACTGCTGTCAGCGTTTTCAGGAGCGCCCATATAGGCATAGATATTCCAAGCGGCGCTTGGTGGTTCAAATTCTGTTCTCATGCGGCCGATGTCGAAGCTGACACCACAAAGCGCACTGCTTGTAATTTAGTACGGTCTTGTGCTTCACTGTAATCGTGTTAACAAATCATCATACCACGGAGTCTGTCAGTCATCAGCTACTACGATACAACTGCGAATGTGCTTGTGACGTACTTCATGGTAGCCCATTCTACTAGGTAGTCAACTGATGTGTTGTCGTTTTGAGTGAGCTGTTGAAGATTATGTAGTGCAAATACCCTACAATCTTTATTGTTCCTATCTTATGGAGCCGTCACCCAGTGTGTCTGATTTTCGATGGAAGAAGAATCATACTATTATACAGTTCGTCAACCCAGGCTCCAGCGGACGTGATGGACAAGGCAGACGCGGAGAAGACGGACGCGACGATGATTCAGCCTGCAAAGGTTTCTCTAAACATACACAAGAATATGTTCAGATAGAAAACAGTCACAAGCACATACGGCCACAGTCAGCTGAAAACTGGGCATCCCGTCCGCTCTGCCATACATAAGCAGTTGAACGGCAGATTAGTACTACGGTGGGTGACCACGTGGGAATCCCTGCTGCTGTATGTTTTGCTTTTCGCCCTCTATTTTCGTCCCATCAGTCATCATATCAAGCATTATGATCTTGATATGTACACAGAAAGGCATAGAACCGTTGTATGTGCGCATGTTATTTCGAAGGGTGAATTTCTTTTTGTACCATCCTGCCTATGGTCGATATACAATCGAGCTCTCACCATTTCGTCTCAGACGACTGAAAATATTGTCAAGTCCAAGTGCCATTTGCAGGACCAAAGTACCCACTCGCCGGCAACTTCAGATTCGACACTCCCACCGCATCAAGCGTGTTGGCAAATACCGTCGTACCCCACCAATCCGGCATCGAGTAGCCTGGATAGCTGACTGCGAAGAAGATGACGATGCCTGCAACGGCTGTTCCGGTGTCGACTGCTGCGGCGAGAACATACTGTTTGAACTGTTAGTTGCTGACGTTGCAAAGGGAGAAGCAGCAATACGAACGTTGTATTTGGTCCACCAAGCAAAGAAGTTGTTCTTGATATAGCCGTTGAAGATCCAGTTTACGAGGGCCCAGGAAGTGTAGTTGATTCCTAGGCATATGGTCAGCATATCGTTTTTCTCTCTCATGCTCAAATACATTAAATTTACCAGTTGCAGGCGGAACATTATAAGTTCCAACGTAGAACAGAGGCCAGTTGATATCTCTAAAGATCTTCTTGCCAGTCTTCTTGTAGGCATACCAAGTAATGACAGGTGTGAGTGCTCCGATCCAGAAGAAGTGCAACAACGAAGAGTATCGCTTTCCTACACTGTACAAGCGATCTGGGCCGATCAACCCCCAGATGACCGATGAACTGAACACCGTTCTGCCATTGGGACACGTAAACGAGGAGCTTTGGTCCGAGGAGCAAATATCAGGGATATTGCCTAGCATCCAAAGCGTCACACCTGTTTGTGTCAAAGCACCAAGAATAGCAGCAAATCCTTGAGCGAAGAAGACGGTGCGAGGAGCAAGCTTCAAATAATGCCCCAATTTCATGTCCTGGACGAAAAAAATTCCCTGATTGACAACAGCAGTGGACAGAATCTTGAAGATCATGTTGGCCAGAGGCTTTCCTGCAAACATGTATCCACCAATAAATTCAGACAAGACGTTGATCTGGTTGGCATCGACGTTCGAGATACCCTGGATTAGAGCACAAGGGATAAAATAGATGGCGGGGATAACGAGGGCAAGTGCAACACCATAGATGGGAAGATCGGTATGGTAAACTTCAACCATGACGCAGGAGAGAGCTGTGAAGATTACCAGAACGATGAGGTACCAGTACCAAGGTGTTGGCTTATATGCCTTCATTAGACGTCCGTGGATATCCAATTTTCTGGTTCCGCGAAGGGCAGTCCAGATCTCGGTTCCATGCCAAAGATATGTGTGAGTCAACACCGCAGTGATCGAGGCAAACGACAAGCCATATACGAAAGCAAAGGTCGCACTGAGGAAAGGTGGCGAGTATGCGCGATAGGCTTCGGGGTCAAGACTCTTGGTCAGAGGGTTGATGATCTTGGTGACATTATAGCTGGCACCTGTGTTGTCGTAAACATCTGCGGTCATCATTGGCAGATATCCAGTGTACCACTTGTTGGTGTAGTAAAGTCCGGGCGTAATGATCAAGAAGAAGAACACGAAACCAGCCAGAACGTTGAGTGCAGCGCTTAGAGGGCTCAACAGAGGGTTGGTATTATATGCAATCTGCGACCAATCAAACGTAAGTGGGAACATTCCTAGGCTTCAGTCAGTTATGTGTCTTTGTGCAAGTCGCAGATGAAACATACCTAGTCCAGTCTGCATACCAAAGATCTGGTTGACCACAGCATTGTTCGGCGCAATCCAACAGATCCACGTGAAATACGACAAGGCGGTGAAGATAAGGCCAGGGAACCAATACCAAACGAACGCGATAAGAAGCGCGAGGAAGAAGAATCGAAGGCGAGATATCTTCCAGCCATTGGCAACAGCGTTCGACTTCGAGTGCAGAGTGGATAGCAAGGCGCAGTTGCCCAAAATACCAGGCCAGATGATAGAAGCAGGTTCTACCACCCAACGGGACCCAAGGCCAGCGACACCGAATCCAAGGAGTTGGGTACACATGACCATGAGTACGGCTAGTCCGGCAGAGAGATCGAAGTCGTAGAACTTCTTGGCAGCTTGTATCATATTAGAGGCGTCGGAGCCTGAAGCGAAGCCGATCGTCACGTTCGACATAATGGTAATCAGAGCATGCTCCTTGATATTCTGCAAGATGGTTAGTGGTATTCATTCTGACTATGTTTGAGAACTTACAAATTGGCGATCAGGATTGATGTTCCACTTTCCGAGAGGACCAAGGTCCAGAGTGTAGATTGGTAGAATGTGCGCTAAAGCCACTCCCATGGGGAAGGCAAGAAGTTCCGCAACAAGCGAGACGATATGTACGGCGGGATAACGAAGGGAGAAGAATTGGTTGACGCCAGATCCAAGCATAGTCCAAATGATTCCTACAATCCACATTCTGAGAGTGTTTAACGGCATGCTGGGGTCGTCAGTCTCAGGGACCACAGCGCGGACTAGCACATAGTTAGCAAACGCTCATTTAGATGAATCCTCCGTCATTCATACCTTCAGGATATGGCGAAGTGTCGGCATCAACATCCTTGATCTCTCCATCATGCAAGACCTTGTCAACATCTACCTCAATTTCTTGGAGGTGTCCATGCTCGATGTCGTATGAGTCCTCCACGCCAACTTCGGCTCCTTTGCTGTCGATGTTATCTGCAGTCTTCTGAGGCTCTAAGGTGTTAAGTTGCACGGAGTCCGTATCTCGGCGAGAGACCGGGAAAGGACGTCGGATTCTGTTCATCTCTGCTACAGATAGAGAAGCGTAGACGGGACATTGTTACCCGTGTCCTGGGTGCTAGGGTTACTTATGCCTCAGTGCCATTGAATCGATCAGCTACTTAGACCGTCATCGGCACTACAATATGATCATGAACGTTATCGTGTTGCGATACATGGTGTTGTACCCTGCTACAGTAGATAGGCAGGTTGATAAGAGATGCAAAGGATGCGCTAAGTCTTATCATTGACCCACTTTGGGTTAAGATGTGCCATATCGCCTAAAGACAAGCCGCGGCCAAGGGGAGGGCAAGCATTTTCCGCGAATAGGCAGAGGTGTTGATGTATGCTTATATGTGCTTATCTAGAGGCATTGTCAACAGAAATGGTTGATATGGATAAGAGGGGAAGGTGCAACAGAGGTGCGGGGATGCCAGGTCAGGGTGACTTTTCGACTTGCTGGTCATCATATTTACAGAAGCCACGACCACATGCGCTCTATATTCCAGCTGGAGGAACCTCGAGCACTCCTCTATATCTCATCTCGCCCTTCTCGAGTCTATCAAATGCAGTCTTGAGCCCGTCCTCAGTCATAAGGAAACGCTCTACCCAAGGCGTTATCCTGTGTCTGGCCGCAAACTGTATCATAGCAAGATGGTTTTGTCTTGATGCCTCAGTCGATGCTATGATCCTATGACCAGGAAGTACGAAAGGCATATACGGTATGATCAGCGGCTTTTGTTGTATCGACATGAGAACAATCGTTGCCCTTCGTGCTAGGAAAGGCAAGATCTTGTCCAGATCAGGCGTTTCGTTAGCACAAATGAGCAGGACGTCTACGAGTGCTTTCTGCTCATGTACCCCAAATGATCTAATAGGGGTGTTGATATTGCTGAGGATTCGACACTCGTCGGCGCCAAGCTCGAAAGCATCTCTTGCTGCCTTTGGAGCAGAGCCTGAAAAGACAGTGACAGCACAGCCCATTGCTTTGGCGAAGAGAACTGCCATATGACCGAGACCACCTAGGCCAACAACACCAACACGATGATGCGGTTTGGTACCGGCTGCATGTAGGGCCTCATAAGTCGATGCACCGGCGCACATGAATACACCAGCTTGCCAAGAAGGAATTTCAGCAGGTAATTGGTAGGCAAAGTCGGCATCGATGATGTGATAGTCAGCAAAAGCGCCTGCATCTCAAATTCAGTGTGGGAAAGTCGAATTCGGCACTATTTTGCTACCTTGGTCGTGGTCACAGAACGCGAAGCCACTTGCTTGAGCGCAGTACTGGCGATAGCCATCAAGACAGGCAGAGCAGTTGCCACAAGACTGATTCAATTAGTCTCTATGATTATTCTCACATGTGTATTCACTTACGCTACGTAACCAACTACGAAATGTCAGGTCATGTCAGACATTCGTGATGGGATGCACAGAAGATCAAAGTTATGCAAGCAGTACTTACCCCCAACCGACTCTATCGCCAGGCTTCATGGATGTCACATTGGCGCCAATGTCGGTGATCAGACCGACACCTTCATGGCCCAGTCCACAGGCCTTGTCCTTTGCATGAACATCGGTATAGCAAATACCTGAATGTGTTACTTTGATTTTGACCTCGTTCAAACCGAGAGCACGCTGTGCAGTCTTCTTAACGAACTTGGCAGAAGCAGCATCGAAGCGAAACGTAGTGATGGTATGCGTAGTCATGGCTGTAGATAGACTCGAGGTTGGGACGAATGGCAGTCGACAAGTTGTTGGCTGACATGGCAGGTAGAGGCACCACTATTTGAGAGCTGATTACAGTGGGAGCTTCCCTACCATGCCGTCAGGGTCCGCGGACAGATGCGGTTCCTTCGAACAAAGCTGTTTGGTGTTGCGCCTTCTCGGAGTTGAGTGGCGCCGAATTTCTACGGGCCGAGTCAAACAATCGATGAGAGATTGTTGCCCGCTCCTAAAACCATCCACTTCCGCTATTACTTCACTCACACAACATCATCATGGCATCACTACGACCAGCCTCGCGCCGAATCCTCTCGTCCACCACATATGTGCCCCGCCAATACACACGATGCCTTGCCACGGCAGCATCAGATATCACGCCCTCATCACCGAACGCAACACAATCGAAACCCCGACGAGCCACAAAATTCTCCGATGTCCTTAACAGCGGTCCAGCATTCGGCGATTTTGTCTCCGGCAAAGAAGCCCCTTTGAGCCCTGAAGAGGCTTTGGAATTGAAGACGGTCATGGTTGGCCCCGCCGGCAAGAAGAAGCCTCATACACGACTGCCCGAATGGCTCAAGACGCCCATTCCCAGCAACAACAACTTCAAGAAAATCAAGAATGACCTGCGTGGTCTGAACCTACACACCGTCTGCGAGGAAGCCCGCTGTCCCAACATCTCCGACTGCTGGGGCGGCGATGACAAGTCTGCTGCTACTGCCACTATCATGCTCATGGGCGACACATGTACCCGTGGATGCCGATTCTGTTCCGTCAAGACAAGCCGAAAGCCTCCTCCGCTAGACATCCACGAGCCTGAAAACACAGCCGAGGCCCTGTCCCGATGGGGTCTTGGTTATGTTGTCTTGACCTCCGTCGACCGTGATGATCTTGCAGACGGTGGTGCGCACCACTTTGCCAGCACCATCATCAAGATCAAGCAAAAGGCTCCTACAATGCTTGTCGAGGCTTTGACTGGTGATTATTGGGGTGATCTGGAAATGGTCAAGGTGGTTGCACAGAGTGGCTTGGATGTCTACGCACACAACATGGAAACCGTCGAGGCCTTGACACCTCAGGTCCGCGACCCTCGCGCAAAGTTCCGCCAATCGCTTGATGTTCTCAGAACCGCCAAGGAATCCAAGGAGGGCTTGATCACAAAGACCAGTTTGATGCTGGGACTCGGCGAGACGGAGGATCAGCTATGGGACACACTCAAGGGTAAGACAAGACTACTTTACTCGGATTGAGAATACCAATGCTAATGAACTTGCACAGAACTTCGCAAAATCGACGTCGACGTTGTCACTTTCGGCCAATACATGCGCCCCACCAAGCGCCACATGAAGGTCGAAGAATACGTTTCACCCGAGAAGTTTGAGCTCTGGAGACAACGCGCGCTTGACATGGGCTTCTTGTACTGCGCCAGTGGTCCCTTGGTTCGCAGTTCCTACAAGGCCGGAGAAGCATTCATCGAGAATGTCATCAAGAAGCGTGCTAAGAAGAACCAGCTCGCTATGGCTGAGGGTGCAGGCGATTTCAAGCCTTTGAACGCCGCTTAGACCTGACATGTTCTGCTTCTTTTTGTTTTCCATCATGCGGCATTCGGCGTTCTTGGGTGTTCAACGAGCTGGGGTATCAGATATCAACTTGCGCTGGGGAGTATTTGCCTGGAGTCAAGAAAGGATTGGAGCCTTTCACATTTCAGAGCCAAGCCGAAAAACTGTATATAAAAGGTACATCAACTGTACGGCTACAAATTTCTTAATCTCATTATCATCTTCCTGCCACAGGAGGTGGCGCATTTCATCCTCTAGCATTACTCGTCCTTGCCATACTTCTTAATCAACCTACTCATGATGCTAACAGCACCACCCTTGTACCCACCCCCGAACATCGCATGATGATTTAGATGATGATACAACTCGTACAGAGCAACTCTATCCTCATACTCCTCCACCGGCTCCGTCTTGGGAACCATTTGATGATACTCTTTCAAAAAGCTTGCACCAAAGCCTCCAAACATCTTCATGATCCCCAATTCAAATTCACTATGCGCATAACACGCACTAGAATCGAAGACCAGATTCTCAGGAGCGTCCATACCAGGTAATTTTCCCAGACTTGCGTTGCCGGACCAGAGGTCTCCGTGGACGACTACGGGAGTAATGCCTTTGCCGTTGTTGAGATGGTCATCGCCGAGAAGTCGAGGCACTACTTTGTTGGCTGTTTGTTCGACTAGAGAGCGTAGCTCTGCATCAGCACCATTGGTCTTCTCGCTACGCTCAAGAATAAACAGCAATCGATTCTCAGCGTAAAAATCAGCCCAACTGCTTTTGAATCTGTTGTCTTGGGGTGTTTCGCCACAACAGGTCGTTACTGGGAATCCAAACTTTGGGGTAGATTCTCCCTTTGGAGGGGGTGCTGGTGTGGTGTGCAGTTTTGCTAGTTTGGCAGCTAGAGATGGTGTTGAGGTTAATGAGGATGAGGAAAATCGACTTGAGAGGTCTACGAAATCGGTGACTAGGAAGTGTGTGGAGGGTGAATCGGTGAGTTTGCCATGCCCGTAAGATTGGGGACATAGTGAGGGTACGGTGTTGTGGATTGCACTGAGGGATGCGTGTTCGCCTGACTCTGTGCTTAGTGATATCCTACGTATTGAGTCAAGTGAGAGGTTGTTACCTTCAAACATGACTGAGGCTTCGTTACCAGAGCCCGTCTTCATGAAAAACTGCTTCTCTGTGCCATCGTCGAGTTTGGCTGTGATTTTGGATGTTGATGCGAAGCTTGATCCTGCACCAGCACCGGATATTGTTGTTTGCTTGGGGTCCAGGGACAAGAGTTTCGCAACAGCAGAGTCAATTGCCATGATTTTGGATTTTTTGTTGCTGGTGGACAGTCTTCTGGTACCGAAAAGCATGTAGAGCACGAGGGTGCATACAGAAGAGTTCTCACTGCCCAGCAAGGTGTCTCGAGCATGTTCAATGACATCAAGCTCGATCATCGAAGTGGGATGCATCACGTTACCGACACAGAAAGGTACACCAGATCAACCATCGAATAAACCTTTCCCGATAAACCAACATGTCTCTCTCTGCTCGAAGGAGGCCATACATATTCTGCTCTGACAGTCAAATGGAGAATTACAAACTGGGTTTGAGAAAGGTTGGCCAAACCCCGCGCCAACACGAGTGGCAGAAGGAGCACAGGCCGCAAAGGTGTTGGTGTTTCTGATCGACTTCACCTGGTCAACCCATAGCAGATCCATCAACAAACGAATAGGTCAGAGTCTCAGAGATGGCTGGGAGACCAAGCTTAATCCAGGTAGACATATAGCTTTAAATCTGGCGGCTGTGTGTGAATGACCAAACAAGGTAGGTGGGTACTCAAACCGCGTGTAGCGGCGTGGTTGGTACAAAGTGGGCTTTCACCAGCCTCCTCACTCGGCATCCGGCCACCATGTGAAATCGAGACATCACCATGAAAGCAAAGAAAAAGAATGCGATCGCTCCACCCGTTGTGGTTTGCACGTTTTTGTTATCTTTGACAGCAGTTTTTGTCGTTTCAAGCGTTTTTTCAATCCGTTTGACCGTTCGCAGCCATGAGTCGGTCACTAGAATCTCTACATCTCAAGCACACAAATGGTAAGATTGATCCAGTAGTATATTTGGCACGTTGGTCTAACTGTCAGCCAGTGTCACAGCCTCGCCTAGAACGAACACATTCAGAACGCTCATTCACGGCATCAGAAGATTACTATTCTCTATCTTCCAGATCATCCAATCGTTCAGATAGCCGAGCCTCGCAGTCACGACCATACCCATTACCACGAACACAGTCACGCTCGATTCGCAGAATAGAGAGTCCGGCTTCTCCGGTCTCTCCAGACTTCCCTTCACGTCAAAGCTATGAAGGCATTGCACGTCCAGTCCTCATTCGCCAGGTCTCGAAACCGGCATCAAGACCGATGAGAGGCCATGGCGTGAGAAGACGTGACATCGTCCCTACAGAGATCTCTGTACCTCCAATTCCTCCTCGAAGAGGCTCGCCTGTCAAGAGGAAGCCAGTCCCTAGCACAGTCTTTGAGTCTCCACCACGATTGGAGCCGATCCGTGTCCCGCAAGCCGCCTTGAGTTCTGCTTCTATGCAGATTGCTCGTCAGTACGATCCACCAACACCAGAAACCGACACACCCTATGTCCGCTTTGCCATCGACCAGATCACAAGAGATGAGGACGAGACCGAAGGAAAGCCATGGCTTGGTCCTGAGTTCGGTAATGCATACGACGAAGGCCCGATACCCCTGGAGCATGAATATCCTCCCGTGCCTGATTTGCCGTTTGATGATATTGAACCAATCCCCATACCGCCACGAAGCCCACGACGCAAGAGCAGTCAGACACCGGCACAACATCCCTTGCAACAGCAGATGAGCCTGTTTACGCCATTCGAGCCTCTTGCCGACTCTTTCTATGCTCCTCTGACCGCACTGCCACCCGTCCTTCGCCCAGTACGCCTTGGTGTCTTCATCTCGCTCGTGACGCTCTACTTGATTGCTCTCATCTTTGCCGCAATCTGGTCTCGTGTGCGCACTGGCTTGTGCAACTATGGATCCCTTGGTGATGGAACTTATTTCGTTTTCCAATACTTGCCTACGCTTTTGGGCATGGTCTTGCTCCTTTGGCTCTTCGAGATCGAGAAGGCTGTGTATAGGATTGCACCTTTCATCGCTCTAGCATCCAAGACCTCCACGACTCGAGGATTCGGCGCTATATTGCCCATGTACCCCTCGAGCTTCGCACTTCCTTCTTTCAAACACGCCAGAGCGGGTCAGCGTGCCATTGGCATCTTCTTGATCGCCTCATGGCTTACACTATTCACCGTCCCTCTGCTGGCTTCTTCCTTCAATGTCTACTTCCGCGGAACTCCCGGTCAATGGGTCTGGCTTGCCACGCAAGGAACGATCTGGACTGCGATTGCGCTGTACATCATCTTGCTGACGGCTTCCATCGCCCTATGGATCTTCCTCCACCGCAGAGGAACCGGACTCAAATGGGATGTTCGCACTTTGGCCGATTTGATCGTACTCACCGAGCGCAGCAACATTCTCGATCACTTTGCTGACATCGGTGTCAACGTCAACAAGTACGAGCTCTGGGGCCACAGTACCGAGAGACAGGACCGACTGGGATACTTCAACACTGCTTACAACCCTAATGATGTGTTTCACACCTTGGGCGCGCCAAACAGACCTGCGAGACCGTATAGTGCTGATGAAAGCATTCTTAGTGAGAAACTGCTTGGTGGTCAACCCCCCAACTACTCAAACATTAACGAGGCAGAGTATGGTAGACCTTACAGCTATGGATCTACTGGTACGCACAATACCACTGATCTTGTCTTGCAACCTGACAACACCGACAACTATCTGCCCTGGTTCCTCCGTACCGGTTTCGCCTTTATCTGGGTCATACTCGCGCTAGCCTTACTCCTCCTATTCCTGGTTATCTCTTACCTCCCTTCAACAGCCATCAATACTGGATTTGTACCAAACTTGCCGGAAGCCGTCAACAGACTCGGTTTCTCCTCCTCCAACTTCCTATACTCTTTCATCCCATCTCTACTCGGCCTTCTCTGTCTGCTAGTCTGGCAACCTATCGACCTCGCCTTCCGCCGCCTACAACCTTATGCCTCAATGTCTTCAGCCGGCGGCTGTCTAGCAGAGAAAAGTCTGCTGCTGTCCTACACTTCCGACGCACCTTTCGTCGTCACCCTCAAAGCAGCAGTGAACGGCCACATCCGCGTTGCCCTCCTGAGCTTCATTTCCCTCATCGCGGCAATCCTTCCCATTCTCAGCGGCGGCGTCTTCTGGAGCCAATTCTACATCTCTCAGCAACGCGTGCGTGTGAGCGCCGACATGAAAGCCTTTTACGCCTTGACATTCTTCCTCGCCATCTACGCTCTGTCATACACATTAGCGTTCGCAGGCCACAAACGCGCATTACCCAACCGCGGCATCACTCTCGCCGATCAGATCTCCCTGCTGCATCAAAGTCGTTTACTCAATGATGTTGCTTTCCACGCTCCAGCTACAAAGACCGCTTTGGTGACTCGACTGCTTTCTCCTCCTGTGGGTGAGAGAACCAGCTATCATCAACAACAACATGCAGATGCAGAAGCAGGGGGGGTTACGGGCAGTAAAATCTCCATTGCGGATTCTCTGCGCGGGTTTGGGAGAGCTAGAGCTGATGCTGGTGGGGTGGTGGTGGGGAGTGTAGAGTTGCCGAGGTATGCGTATGGCAAGTATTACGGCAGGGATGGGAAACAGCATGTTGGTGTTGATCGAGTGGGTAGACCTGGTGTTCCTGATATGGTTATTAGGATGTAGAGGTTGTTGATGGTTATGCTTTGATGCTGCTGCTGCTGCTGCTGCTGCGATGTTTAGCGATGAGAATTTTCATGGAGTTTAATGATGTATATGATGTGCCCAACAGACAGACAGACAAGATCAGTAGTATAATTTGTAATAATTAATGTCTCGAGATATCGATGCGCGTCACCCTGTGTCAAGATATGTATGCATTGCATATATATGGAGTGTGAGCATGCCAGAAAGATGGAAATGTGTGATCTTGATTTGAGCTACACTACGTCCATCACTATCAGAAGAAACCAGGTTTGGGCAACTTCAACGTGACTAGAGGATCGATGCCAGGAAATGGATGACTGCTGTCAGCTACCTGAGTATGTGACTGCCGATTGATCTGCGACACATTGCTGTTGGCCCAGTCCATGATACTGCGATCCAGCACGATCGGATCTGCATCCTCGTCGTCATCCGGATAGCCAAAAGTGGACAGAGAGTCGTCTCCAATACTCGGTAGAGGCAAAGTGTACGCGGGACCAGTCCGTGAGGTCGTTCTTTCTAGTCTATCAAGTGGCGGCTTGGGTCGACTATCCTTCGTGACTATAGGGGTCGGCGTGGTTGTTTGTGCTGGCTCTACAGACTTTCCTGGCTCTTCTCGTGTAGCTCGAGTCCGTTTGGCTGGCTTGGGAACAGTTGGTCGAGATGCTAGGCCGGCTTGTGCGTACTTTTCGGGGAACTTTGTTCGAAGTCGATCGCGCAGGTCTGTTGGTGTTCTGCCGTGTTCTCGAAATGCTTCATCTTTGGCAATGGAGACCCAAGAGGGGCCTTGTTCTCGAAAGCCTTTGAGTAGAGCTTGGTCCTCTTCGTTTGTAAAGTTCCGTCTCGGTCGTCGTTGTGCTTTCCATAGAGTTTGGTCTGTAGTGTTGACCTGCTCGGGCTGAGGTTCGTCTTCTTTTGGGGGCTCTGGTGGGGTTGGCTCTGCTGTCTTTGCTCTCTTGGAGGTCTTGGTGGTTGCAGCCTCCTCCGAGGACACTCTCTTGGCCTTTCGAGTTTTCCTCGCACCGCCATAAGCCTCAGGACGGCAGACTCTAAATCTACAAACATAAGCTCAGCACGGATAATGATAAACAGCATTTTTCATACCTATCCTTGAGGTCTACGGCGGTCCGTTTGTGGAACTGATAGTCTGGACAGAGCAATATTCTCTTCCAGTTGCCAATGCCGAATCTAGATACACCTGCCAGGAGATTGTTCGTCTCCTGATCGGTCCACAAATTGCGTCTGGAACGTTTATGCGAGGCCCCTTGAGTTGTTTCAGCAGATAGCACAGGCTCCTGCTGAACAACAGTAGAAGTAGTCTCGTCAGCGGAAGCTGCATTGGCTGCAGGCTTACTGCCTCGGGATGTGGACAGGAAGACTTGTGCCTCTTCTGTGCTGATCGAAGGCAACAGTCCAGCGTCGGGTGGAGGATGATGGAGACCCTGCAACACAGGAGGAACACGGTGCCGCTTCGCATGTCGTTTCGTTGGCAATTTTGGCAATGTGAAGACTGCCTGTTCAACGTCTCGCCTGTGGGACGCATGCTCGCCTGATCGAGGAGGTGAAGTCTCATCATTGAGTACGGCAGCGATCGAAGACGCAGACGACTGATGAGGTGAGCGTCTAGCAAACCTTGTTGGATCTGGTCCGAGATCATTACGTTGGCGCAGTCGGTCACCCAGCAGAAACGGGTGTAGCTGCTCGTTAGTCGTCCGGTCAAGTTCGCGGGTACTTCCATCAAAAATGCCATGGCTGAAGTCACTAGGTTCGACGGGATTTGGCCTGTTTATATACTCCAGCGATCCGGGCTGAGGAAGAAGTCTGGATGTATTTCCATTGGTAGAAGGATCGAAAGACATGTTTGCTAGCAGTACGACATTGTATGGAATTTTCGCAAAATTTCTGAGTGCTGTGATCCTCGCGAAGTTATGCTTCTCAGATTCAATCACGAGAGCAAATGGAAGACTGTTGGATGTGAAAAGGAAGGTTGTTGCGATGACCGAGCAGCCAAGAAATGCGCCGCGTAAGCGCTTTAGCTCTGCCGGTAGTGTGACCCTGCCTGGAAGTGTCATTGTCGACAATCACATGTGTGATGACCGGTAGTTGATGGAGAGTTAACCGCATTAGACTGAATTTTGATTGAAATACCCAATTATTATTATACTACGAGCTAGAGTAGTGTCTCCTAGTAATTCCCTCGAGTTTCTAGCGAAGCGCCACGGTGCGGGGTCGAGATGCTAGCTTCGAAAGGCCGAGGAGGAGCGAGAGGTAGAGGTATAGTAGGTGAAGGGAGGTTCGAGGTGTTGTCGTAGGGCAGCGTAGAGGGTTAAGAGGTGGAGGATTAGTTTATAAGAGATAGAGAACATATAGAAAAGAGAAAAAGAGAAGGGAGACAGGGTAGAGCTAAGGGAAGCACTCTAAGACGCGATAGTCGATTTACTAACGACTCCGACTCTACATCGGTAGAGGCTACGCCTAGAAAGAAAACCTTACCTATGGCCATAAGAAGGGTAACTAGAAGTATAGAGAAGGATGGCAGCGATATTAACTACTAGACCGAGAGTAGCCCTATACCTAATAGTAATAGAAATAGCGACGTACCTAGAGAAGTCATAATAAACGACATTATATAGTAGCTACTCGAAGCGTAAAGAATAGCTAAAGAAGAGAAGGATAGATATAGGGAAGAGATTAGACAACTATAGATAATAGTAATAACTCTAGTCTTAGACATTAAGAGTCTATAAGAAGTAGCCCTAAATTAGGGTTCCATTTAGTTATCGTCTATATAGATAGGAACGATAGACTCCTTCGTAAGCGTCGTAGTCTAGGGGGTATAGCTACTAACCTAGGAGATAAGTGTAACGCTAGCATAAGGAGTAGACGTAACACTAACTAGATTAACTAGGTTATTAGTATCGTTTAATTTATTAGATTAGTTAAGTCTACTACGGTCGCCTCCTATATCTATAGGAACCTTAATTAGGAGTATAATAAAAAAGATAAAGAAATCCCTAGAGGCAGATATAGTACTCGATATAAAGAATCTCGATATAGAAGGACGAACTAGAACGAGTCTAATAATAAGAACTAAGAATCGGATCCTAGCTATAATTAGATCTAATAAAGGACTAGATAAAGTCGTTCTTAACTAGTTTATAATTAGACATATAAACGAAGATGTTTACTTAGCGTATTTTAAGATCGATAAAGAGGTAGAGAAAGTAGTAAGAGCCTACGTAGATAAATGGTTACCTATATTCCTTAAAGGGGTAAGACTTATTAAATCTACCTAGTATCTAATTAAAGTGGACTTCGTCCCTAAAATAGAAGCTATAGATTACTAGACTAGAACAATTAGTTAGGAAACATAAGAGGCCTTTATAGAGGAGAACGAAGTAGAAGTTAAGCTAATAAGATGGCTAGGAAGGCTAAAGGAGTACGTAGCATATACATTAGTAGTAGCTAAGCTAGCTATAAAAGAATAGGTAGAGAAACTACTCTAGAAACAGGTAGACGGAGAAGAGGTGTCCCTTTTTAGGTGTATAGTTAAAGTCTTACCATTTTATAATAATAGAGGACTAAGAGCTTACTATAATTATTACTAGTTTAGACATACGTAAAGGGAGTGTAAGAACACTACTAGGTGTTTATAGTATATATAAGAAGGACATAATAATTATAAACTAGGAGAACCTAAGTATTATAACTATAGAGAAAAGTACCTAATAACCTATAGGAAGTGTCTAGAGTATAGAAAGTAATAAGAGAGAGAAATTAACCTACGTCGTTATAATTAGTATACTAAACATTCTTTAAGCAAATCTATATAGGAGCTTAGGAGTTTAGGACGCTTT